AGACTCCTGTTCTTTGTATGATCGATAGAAAACAGACCTGAAAAAGCCTCGGTCTACCGCTGAACGATTCATGATAATGGAGTCTTCTTGATTGTAGCCAGTGTATGATGCAATGGCCACAATTGAATTGATACCTGCTGGCAACTCTCTAAATCGCAAATATTCCATAGACTGTGTAGTCACAAGTGGTTTTTGAGGATAGTAGAGAACATGGGCCAATGTATCCATACGGATGTGAAAGTTGGTGATATAAACTCCCATGGCCTGCTTACCCATAGCAGACTGGTATGTGTTTCTAGGGGACTGGTTATGATCAGGAAATGGAATAATAGATGCACAGACACAGAAAATCATTGATGGGTGAATCTCACAGTATGTATATGTGGAACAATAAGCTACTTCTTTCTATTGTAAATCATTTGGAGTCATTTGCCAGAATCACTGTTTCTTCTTCTAGAGTATCAATATATTCCACTACCCCACTGGCCACAAGATCCTGCCAACTGTGGTTGTTATATTCTCTCTCTTTCAATTGATCAATATGTCTCTTCTTCAACAGAAGCTTTTGTTTTTCCACAATCAGAAGTGGTCTACAAATACGACCGGCATCTGTATAGATCCGAATCTCCCTCTCTCGAATATCTCTGATCATAGAAACTTCAGACACAATGATGTCCATCTGACACCGCGATTTTCTTAGAGTGTTCATAAGTTGTTCGGGATCTTTATGTATTCCAACCCAGCAACCATTAACAAAAATCTTGGTTGCAACAGCAATAGCTGCAGGAGAAATTTCTTCTAAATTTTCCATACTCCATTCTTCTAAAAATTCCAGAATTGGAGAAGGTTGAGATCCAACTGAAATATAAGCCATCAGGGCTAAATTCTTCACAAGTCCTACAGCATGGCCCTCTAGAGTCTCAGCAGGACACACCATTCCCCACAACGTATTATGCAACTGTCTTGGCTTTGCCAGCTTGCCATCTCTACCGATTGGAGAATTTAAACGACGCAGGTGAGAAAGAGTAGATGCAAACGTCAGGCGGTTTAACTCTCGAATATCTCTGATCATAGAAACTTCAGACACAATGATGTCCATCTGACGCCGCAATTTCCTTAGAGTGTTCATAAGTTGTTCGGGATCTTTATGTATTCCAACCCAGCAGCCGTTAACAAAAATCTTGGTTGCGTCAGCAATAGCTGCAGGAGAAATTTCTTCTAAATTTTCCATACTCCATTCTTCTAAAAATTCCAGAATTGGAGAAGGTTGTGATCCAACTGAAATATAAGCCATCAGGGCTAAGTTCTTCACAAGTCCTACAGCATGGCCCTCTGGAGTCTCAGCAGGACACACCATTCCCCACGATGTATTATGCAACTGTCTCGGCTTTGCCAGCTTGCCGTCTCTACCGATTGGAGAATTTAAACGATGCAGGTGAGAAAGAGTAGATGCAAATGTCAGGCGGTTTAGCACCTGAGATACTCCAGCTCTGGCTTGATGAGCTTTCCTTTGGTCACCCCAGTTTCCAGTAGCTAAAGAGTATTTTAGGCCATCAGATATAATCCTTGTTTTAATTGCCAACTCCAAGTTAAAATCCTTTCCTCGATCAATAAATTTCTGTGCATAGATCCGTACTTCTTTAAGCAAATTCTTAAACAGGCCTCTAAATAAGAATGCAAGTAGTGGTCCAGCAAGATCCAATCTTTTGTTTCCCTAGTGATCTCTGTCATCTAATTCTCTTCTACCCAAAGCTGCTAGAAGTAACCTATGCACCATATACCCCAAGAAATAAGCTTTTTTGGTCTCACAAAAATCACTGACACCAACGTGAGGGAGCATTTCTTTCTGTAAGACTTCTTTTGCATATTTAATTCTTTTCTCTTTAGTGACACCAGGCTTTGCCCCTCTTGAGCCAATGAAATTTAGTGCAACATTCTGTTCTTGGATGACAAAAGCTTCATCAAGAGAAGGTTTAACCATTTCCATCATCTCTGGATCTTCAAAATCATAAGTAATATGCTCTAAAATATCTGTCAGACATGAAACCTAATGCTCTGAACACAATAATAATGGGAACTTCTTGCTTGATATATGGTAGAGTTGCCACAATGCGCTGACCAATAGCACTCTTTTTTGCACCCTGTCCTCCTCTTGCCAGCATGCTAACCCAAATAGTACTGGTGGGTCGGGAAGAATTCTCCAGACATGATCTACACTCTCCTGTGTAGGCATATTTAGAATCCTTTTTGGCAAACACATAGACTGTGTTCGTTGCCATTTTTTCTTGTGCAATTAGAACCTTTTCTAATCCATTAATAATGAAATAGCCACCAGGGTCCAAGGGGCATTCATTTAACTCACAAAGATCACGATCTGTTAAGCCATTCAATAGGCAATAAGTTGAACGCAACATAATTGGAATTTTTCCTATACAAGTTTTCTGATGCTGAGTCTGAAGTTGTTCTTCACCTTTTTTAATGACTGTTTTTGTTATATCAACATAAAGTGGAGCAGAATACGTGAGATTTTGTAATCTGGCCTCATTTGGCATCAGTGATGAAGGAGCACCATCTCTTTCCCAGTAAGAAGGCTTGGAGAGATAAATTTGTTCAAACTTCAGCAAATATCTTGGCGGTTCTTCAACTTCTCAAGGAAAACTGGGTTGGCGATGAGCAGAAGCCCCAATATTTTCCTGTAGGAACTTCAGTGATGTAGTGTCTTCTCATTGTCTACATACTTGGAATGCAGCATCCTTATCCACACTTTTAAAATTACATATAACATGGGGAAATGCCTAGGCAATCTCTGGCCACCTTTCCTCCTCTTTCCCTACCTTAACTTGTATCCCTGCCTTCATTTGTATCCGAGTGAGGACTTGGGGGGCAGAAGGTTTATTTGTAAGCTGTTTCTAAGAAGCCAGAGCAAAGACGAGAGAGGGACAGGGAAAGAAAAAAAACAGTGAAAAGATGACAGACTGTTATAATGGTGGGCGATTGGGGCTCATCCCGAGGGGATGCTCTGCGTCACAATGTAGAGTACACGGCAGATTGACCCTCGGAGAGCAGGAAGCTGGGCACTCATCTGTGCACTCTTAGCTTCCATTGGCTGAAGTTTTCCCAGGGATGTTAACTTTTCTGAGTTTCTAGGCTGCCCTATGCATAAGTGACTTCTCACAGATGGAAAGAAGAGGGAATTAGCAGGTCCTTGTGCTGAAATCTTCCCCCAGCAGGTAATTAAAAAACTATAAAATACGTTAATTGGACCAGGTGAGGCTTTCTGCACATAGGAAAGAAGTCTATGGTAGATCTTTCTGGAATCAGGCCTTTGGAAAGAACACCAATCCTCCACATGTAAGGATGCCTTGCCAATGATGGCTTGAGAAGAGTGAAATCCATGCAGCTCTATGCTTATGATTTTGTCACTTTTCTGTGTGTGTGTGTGTGTGTGTGTGTGTGCGCACGCGCGTGTGCAATAAAATTTTACTGTGAAGCAAAGAATGTGGGTAGAACAACACTCTGCCTTGAGAATTCCGCCCACAATTCTGTCATATTATATTGCTAAAATAAAATTGGATCCAGGACTCATCCAAGGCATGAGGAGATGTATAAGGGTGAAGGGAGTAAGACCTCACATACCCCCTTCTCATGCCACTGATCGAGGCTTGCAATAGCTTCCCCCCCTCTGCCTAGGTCAGCTGACTGAGACATTCTTTTCTGCCTTCCCTTCATTTCTCCCCTCAGTTTCTGCCCTAAATAGATAGTGTGCCCTCTTTCCTTTCCCATTCGCTCAGCAAAGTCCCCAACTTCTTTTTTTTAAAAAAAAAAATATATGGAACGCTTCATGAATGTGCGTGTCATCCTTGCGCAGGAGCCATGCTAATCTTCTCTGTATCGTTCCAATTTAGTATATGTGCTGCCGAAGCGAGCACAAGTCCCCGACTTCTTAAATCTCCTCCCTGCAGAAGGCGGTAGCCCCCCAGCTCAGGTGGGAGGCTGCCACTTCTCTTAAACCAGCTTCCTCCTAGGTACCCAGATGCCCAGCTCAGCTTCCAGCGGCTGCGTCTGTTCATGAGGCCATAAATCAGGAGGCCTCTGATGGGGTCAGGCCTGCTCACATTGCTGATGGCATTAGGGTAACGAATGGGGAGTGGGTGTTTATATTAGTTTTGGCTCTCGAGTTGAAGGAAGAACGCCAGCATTTAGCTTCGTGATAAACTCAGCACCAACACATCCCGGGTCAGCAATTATGCTTTAAAGATCCCTTGGGAGGAGCTGGGGCGGAACCTCCCTGGGAAAGTGTGGCCACCCGAGCAGGCCTGCCCTGATGTGGGAGGTGGATGAGGCGTGGCACCGATGGAGGCAGTCTGGGCTGAACAAGGGACTCGTGCTAAGACTGGGCATAGGCTATTGCTGGTGTTGTGTTGGAAACACACACACACACACACACACCACATCGCTTCTGTTCTGTGCGCCCACCACCCTGCTTCCTCTCGGGGAGTGGATAACTGGGGTAAGCAGCTGCTTACTGGAAGACCCAGAAGTTAGACATGCGAGCAGCTTATGGGGACGGTGGGCGACACCCGTGTGAGATAAGAGAGGAAGCAGAAGCAGGTCAAGAGGTAGATCCCACAATGTCTCAGAGCCCATGGGAGCTCCAGAGCACAGACTGCCCCTCAGAGGAGTGCCAATGGGCAGCCATTCACGGTCCCCAGGACCCCCACTCTACTCGGCCATAGCAAAGACCATGGTGACAGCATGAATGGTGCCGTGGAACCCAAAGGTGCTACCCTACGACTGAACAGCAAGTTCTTCTTGAAGGGTACCCAAGCAGTGCACCCCCAGGCTGCCACATGGAGATTTCCCTACCCATACTTCCCTTCTGAGAACTCAAGTACTTTGGAGAGTCTGGCAGATGCATCTCGATAACATGCCCATGTTAGCTAAGCCTTGTAGAATGTGTTACCTGTAGCTCCTTTATGACTCTCCGATCCTCATGGCGGGATAATTTGAGAGGTGCTTTCATTGCCCCACCAATAAATAGTGGTATTCCCCTTTATAGTGCTTCTCAAAGCCAAAGTCAGAAAAGGGTCTGGAGTTATGCCTTTAACAGACTCCTAATGTCTCCCAAGTGTCTGCTTTGTTGAAGACCCCAAAAAGCATAAAGGGAATATGGGAAGAAGCCACTAAGGGTGCCTAATGGTTGAGATTGCCCACAGGAGTGTCAACTCTCCAGTGTTTTCAGGCCTGTGCCGAGTCCTGGCTCAGTCCAAAGCCGGGCAAGGTGGAGAAAATGCCAGGCAAAGAGGCAGAGACTCAAATGCTGGATGCGGGCAGCTGAGCTGAACTCAGGACAGCAGCAGAGTGACCGATTATGTTTTCCAAAAATGATCACAAGACTATCTCCCATTTTTTTATTCTAAACTCAATCATGAGGAGGGATGCACAGCCTCAACCCTGGAACTTGGACCAGACTTGTGACTGCCTTGAATGATAAAAGATGCAGAAATGTCACCACATCAGTGGAGACTAGATCATACTCAGTGATATAACTTCCACCAAGCACTCTATCTTTTGGGATTTTTGGAAACCACCACCATGCTGTGAGGAAGCTCAAGCATCCCTGAGGAGAGGTCCACCTGAAAAGGAACCAGTAACCAGCACCAACTCACCAGCCATGTGAGCCAGGGCCAAGAATCTACTCCCATGAATGCTCAAATTACTCCAGTGGATACCATGTGAAGCTGCCTTGCCCCCTATGCCATGTCCATTCAGATCCATGGACAAAATAATCAGTGATTGTTGATTATTGAAGGCACTCAGCCTGGGCAATGGATACATGATACAAAGAGCATTCCAACTCTGAGATCCCAACAGTGAGGGTTGGGAAAAGAACACATCATTAAAATTTTTTTCAATTATAGTTTACATTAAATATTATTTTGTATGAAAACACATCATTAAAAAATTTTTCATGCGAGCAGCTTATGGGGACGGTGGGCAACACCCCTGTGAGATAAGAGAGGAAGCAGAAGCAGGCAGCGAGGGCCTGCTCGCTTTAAAGATCCCCACAATTATAATTTTTCAATTATAGTTTACATTAAATATTATTTTGTATTAGTTTTAGGTGTACAGTATAGTAGTTAGACAATAATATACTTTACAAAGTGTTTCCCACCTGGTGCCATGCATAGTTATTACAATATTCTTGACTATATTCCCTATGCTGTACTTTACATCCCCATGACTATTTTGTATCTATCAATGTGCCCTTATTAATCCCGTCACCTTTTCTACCCAGTCCCCCAACCCCTATCCCTTCTTGCAACCATCATTCTGGAGCTGGAATAACCCTTCAGAGGTGTCCCAGGATAGTCTGGCCCAGCCTTTATACCCCTGCATGGGTATGTCACTGGCTGTGGGCTACACAAGGAAGGGCATGACTTTGCCTAGGCAGCGGTCTATAACTAAGACAATCTATAAAGGGTGGTTCAGCCCAAGGAAATGCAAAGAAAAGAATGGGGCAGGAAGTGACAACTGGAGGAGGTGACCTCTGAGCTGAACTGCGAAGGTCCCATGAGTAAGACTTGGCTGGGTGAAAGCTATCAGGGGATAGAGAGGGAATGTGTAGACAAAGGAAACATCACAGGTAAAGGGGGGAGCAGACACTCACTAGTCCCATTGCTGTCCTTGGCCATGCTAAGCAGGTGCCTGTTTCAAGCCTCTTCCCCTAGATACCTGCATGGCTCACTTCCTTTGCACTTGCATGTTCTTGGAAACCTTCCTGAGGAAGTGACATTTGAGCTGATGACTCGCTGAAACAGCAGCCTGTGCTGTACTCTCCCTGTCCCTCACCCTGCTTGGCTTCCATGCTCTTATCACTCCCTGAAAGAACTACCTTCTCAACTGTCTTCTGGTATGCACTCTCTGTCCCAGGATAGGAAGCTTCCTACTCTGTGTTCCCAGCACCCCCCAGCCCTCTGAGCGGCACACACATCTGGCTGTATTCAAGGCCTTTGCCCTGCGTGAGTGAAGGAATTGGAGAGAAGCAAGGGCCAGGGGGTGGAATGTAAGGTGATGACATGTGCTAGGAGAGGACCAAAGGGTCCTGGTCGAGAAGCTTGTGTAGAAAACATGGTCCATTCTGATGCATTGCCAGGTGCATTGACACCTGGAGTGGATGTTCTGGGAAGGACAGCGTGGTCGTCCTCCTGGAGCCCTGGAGAGACAGGGACCTGCACTACAGCTGACAGGAACCTGCCCCTCTCCAGGCCAGATGGCACCTTAAGCCATCCCAGGTGTGGACCCTATCAGACCCCCCCCTTCCCACCCACCCCAAAAAGGCCCTTTCAGAAGGGTCCCGTCAGCTTGCCTTGAAGTCTCACACCTTCCTGGGCAGGATGCTCCTTTATTGCAAAATCTCCAACTGATTGTTCTCAGGACCAAGCCCTTTGATGGTTTTATTGTTCCTAAATTCACAGCAGGCCCCAATAACTTCAGAGCAGGTAGAGAATGCAGAGCTGGGAGGCTACGGGAAGCGAATGGCCCAGGATCAAGGCAGGAGATTGTAACTTCTAAATCTGCTGGACCAGACTTGCCTCTGAAGGCTTCCACGTGCGGGGTGGGGGCAGGCCCTGCAATCTCCGG